TACAGCCTCAGAAACCCTATATAGGGTCTCTATGATTCGGAACCAACTCCACGGCACATAACAACAACAACAACAACAACAACAACAAGTGGGTACTATTCCTTTGTTTGGGGCCCTGGTGTGGCACTGTAGGATAAACAGTGGATTGGTCACCTCAAGGTTGTAAGTTCAAAGCCACCACCTGCTCCAAGGAAACCCTGTACAGGGTTGCTATGAGTTGGAACCCATTGGATGGCTTTTAACAATTCCTTTGTTGATGATGAACCCTTGCCTTGAGTTTTCTCATCCAAACACACTCGTTTCCTTATTCAAACGCACTCATTTACTTAGTTCATGTTGAGCAAAAGAAGCAAGGAATAAAATAACACATATCTAACCGATATTTTATTGATACTTGTTTTTTCTAATTTTTTTTGTGAACAATGTCGCTACGTGTACATTTCTCGATGGCACATAGGAGTGGATTTACTGATTCACAAATTATGCAGATCTTCACTCCTACTAGATAATATCACATTTTGTTTCCAAATTAATCATATCAGTGTATGCTCTTACCATCAATGTTTCTCTTCTTTTGTAATCTAGCTTTTGGTTTGTTTGGGGCAAAATTCTGAAACATGACTTAATGATTTAAAAAATTCCATACTGACTATTTGTGTGTTCTTTCTAGGAGCATGAATGTAAACTGACTCAAGAAATTCTAGAACTGATTGACAGAGAGGTTGACCTTATGATGAGAGGAGTCAAACCTTATAATCTTGAAGGGCTCAGGAAACGGATCACAACGCTCTTTCTTCATTATATCAAAACACCTCTATTTAATCCTGAAGTTGCAAGATATCTTAAGGTATTCCTTTGTCAAAATCTTTAAATGTGAAACTACTTTGAAATTTATTCCTGTTTTGCTTTGACATTTGGGATCCATGTGGAAGATCATCTTACTGGGGAAATCTCCTTTGAATGATGATGATGATGATGATTTTTTTTGCTGATAAACTACTCATTTAGCTTCTGTGTCTGTATTTCCAGCTTTAAATTCTTTCCTAAGCTCTGAGCCAAGTTTCCAGTTGAACATAGTTTTCTGTTGAATGCATCATGATCTTTCATGCCCCCATGAACCGTGCCTTCTAAACAGATAATAATGGCTTACATCTCCCCAAGCTTTGGAGGAAAATGAATCAAATGATGCATATAAAATGAGCCATTGAGCTGAAAAATACTTCTCCTTTGGGCCCCTCCAGTTCTCTTTCTACTTCCCCTCCCGACTTTGTCCAAGTTCCAGCTCAAGTTTTTGCTCCCTTCTGAAGTTTCTGGATAACATTATTCCATTGTATGATGTGCCACAGTTTGTGTCCACACAATCTACTATTCAAGAACATATTAGTTGCTTATGAATTGATTGTGATTCTAACTACTGTAAACATTCTTGGACATAAGATTTCCAATCAGATGGGTAAGTACTGAGTAGCTCAGTGGCTGGATTGTATGGAAACACTGTGTTAACTTTATAAAGAACTGCTAGACTGTCTTCCAGAGTGATTGTACCGTTTATACTCCGCCAGTAAGGACAGGGAATACTTAGTGCTTCACGTCCCTACCAGCATGACATTGTCAGGTTTTAGGGTTTGAGCCATCCTAAAAGGCGCGTGTCATATCTCATTGTTTTAATATACAATTCCCCAGTATAAATGATGTTGCGTATGTTCTCGTATGCTTACTTGCCATCTGCATATCTTCTTTGTTGTTGTTGTTGTCAAGTGCCTAGTCAGTTCCTGCTCCTAGTGAACCTGTATAGGGTTTCTGAGGAGCAACTGATGACTTTGAACTGCCACCTTGCAGTTCAAATCTACCTTGCGATCTAGTGCTTACCCTACAGCATCACACCAGGACTCCATACCTTCTTTGGTCGTGGTGGTGGTTGTGTGCTGTGGAGTTGGTTCCGACTCATAGCAACCCTGCATCGGGTTTTCAAGGCTGTAAATGTTTAAGGGAGCAGAAAGCCTCATCTTTCTCTCATGGAGCTGCTGGTAGTTTCAAACTGCTGACCATGAGGTTAGCAGCCCTACTCGTAACCACTATGCTACCAGAGCACCTTCTTTGGTGAGGCATATATTGAGATCCTGGCTCATTTAAAAAAATACATTTTTTTAAAACTTATTTTTGAGTTTCTAGAGTTAGTATTTTGGATTTTGTTGTTGTTGTGAAGAGCTGTTGAGTAGGTTCCGACCCATAGCAACCCTGTATAGGGTTTCTGAGGAGCAGCTGGTGAGCTTGAACTGCCAACCTTGCAGTTCAAATGGCTTTGCAGTCTGGTACATGGACCCACAGCGCCACACCAGGACTCGAAACATGATTTATACATTTTTTCCAATTGATGAATTCTCTTGTAACAGTGATTTTTCTCAGAGCAAGTTTTTAATTTTAAGGCGGTCCCACTTATTAATATTTTCTTTCATGGATCATGCTTTTGGTGTTGTATCTAAAAACTCATCAAACCCAAGGCCACATAGATTTTCACCTAGAAGTTGTGAATTTTAGATTTAGATCTGTCATTCATTTAGAGTTCATTTTGTAGAAGGTTTAAAATCTTTGACTAGGTTCATTTTTTAAGCATATGGATTCCAGTTTTTTTACCCTTATTTGTTGAAGCTATCCTCTCTTCTCTTCGTGGGTATTTCGTTTGTCACCATCAGCTGACTGTATTTGTGAGGGCTCATTTCTCTGGTCTTTATCCTGTTCCACTAATCTCTGTGCCTACTCTTTAACCAACACCACACTGATATGTATATAGTAAGTTTTGAAATGGGAAATGTGCATGTTTCAACTTTATTCTTTTTCAAAATGTATTTGACTCTTCTAATTCCATTACCTTTTTGTATTGATGTTAGAACCGGCTTATCAATATGTACAAAAATCCTGTTGGAATTTCAGATTGTATTTATTTCCTTTATAGATCCCTGTCTTAGACTGCCTTCTCTAGAGAAGCAAAACCAGCAAAGCTTATACATATATATATTTCAAGAGAAGGGGTATAGCAAGGAAATGGCTCACACAGTTGTAGAAATGGGAAAGTCCCAAGTCTATGGGCCAGATGAACCAAGCTGGGCAGGTCAGATGGCAGGCAGGAAGGTAGGTCCAGCTACTGAAAATCTATGAATAGCAGTGGACAATTCAAACTCACCAGTCGCTTCCTGGAAACCCTATATAGAGTTGCTATGAGTCAGAACCGACTCGATGGCACTTAACAACAACAATAACATAGTCAGCTATAGAACCAGAAGATGAAAACATTACAAATGGCAGCAGAACATCGTCAGCTATAGTGCCAGAAGATGAGCCCCTCAGCATGGAAGGCACTCAAAATAAGCCTGGGGAAGAACTGTCTCCTCAGAGTAGAGTTGAGCGTCTGGGACCTTTACTTGCTGATGTGGTACAACGCAGCTCAAAATGAGAGGAAGCTGCTGCAAAATTCATTAGTAACTAGAATATGGAATGTATGAAGTATGACTCAAGGAAAATGGGAAGTGATCAAAAATGAAATGCATAAAGATTACATTGTTAGGCATTCATGAGCTGAAAGGGACTGGTATTGGTCATTTTGAATCAGATAATCATATGGTTTACTCTGCCAGGAATGATAAATTGAAGAGGAATGTCATCACATTCATCGTCAAAATGAACATTTCAAGTTCTATCTTGAAGTATAATGCTGTCTGTGATTGAATAATATCCATATGTCTACAAGGAAGACCAGGGAGCATGGTGGCTCTGTAGGATAAGCACTGGACTGCAAACCACAAAGTTGATGGTTCAGACTACGTGGGAGAAAGATGAAACTTTCTGCTCTCCAAAAGATTTACAGCCTCGGAAATCCTATACAGAGTTGCTATAAATTGGAACTGACTTAAGCACTTAACAACAACCACAAGGAAATTTATGTGCCAACCACTAAAACCAGTGATGATGAAATTGAAGACTTCTACTGACTTTTTCAGTTTGAAATTGATCAAGCATGCAAATCAAGATGCATTGATAATTACTGGTGATTGGAATTCGGAAGTTGGAAACAAAGAGGAAGAATCCGTATTGCCACAGGACAGAGCAGTGTTTTGTTCTGTTGTGCACAGGATCGCAAGGAGTCAGAACTGACTGGATACCACCTAACAACAGTAGCAAATAGTTTAGTCAATTACTATGCAAATGAGCTAAACTCACCTATTTGGCTTAGGAGTTTTTCTCTAGATTCTTTGAGATTTTCTATAGATAAAATCATGCCATCTGCGAAGAAATAAACATTGACGTCTTCCTTTGCAATTCCTGTTTATTGCTTTTTCTTTCATTGTTGCATTGACTACAGCTTCGAGGACAATACTGAATGGACCGATGACTGAAGCTGCCCTTGTCTTATTCCCAATCTTAAAGGAAGAACATTCAGCTCTCCACTATCAAAGATGAGGTTCACTTTAGGTTTTAGAAGTTCTCTGTGGGTCATGGTTTGATGATGGTGTTTTTTGCCTTTTTTTTTTCTTCTCTTCTCTTAGTTTTAATAATGAATAGCTACTGAACTTTGTCAAATATTTTTTTCTGCTTTTATATAGATGCCCCAATTTTTTCTTCCTTCTGTCCCATTAGTTTGATGATGTTTTTTCCCCTCTTTTACCCCTCTTCACTCTCATTTCCTGCCTTTGAATCTCCTGAGAAAGGCATTCCACAGGTTGGTGTGTATTTTCCCTACCTTACTCACACAAATAGCAATTTCAGAATTGAATTCAGTAACCTCGAAACAAACCAAATAGTTCTCTGAGCACCTGCTTTCGAACAAGACAGACCAGAAAACTGCAAAGTTGTGAGAGCCCTTCCAGGCAGGTCCAATGAAAGGAGTAAGAAATGACAGCTCACAGCCCAAACAAAGGCAGCGACACTACTGCATATTAATCAAAGAACGCCATGTGTTACCATACACTTACTGTAACATACACTTAGAAAAATGTTCTAATTTATTGGAGGAAGATTCATTAACAACCTAAGGTATGCTGGTGATCCAACCTTGCTTGCTGAAAGTTAGAACTTAAAATACTGATGGAGATCAAAGATCACAGCCTTCAATATGAATTGCACCCCAATGTAAAGAAAACAAAAATCCTCACAATTGGACCAATAAATAACATCATGATAAATGGAGAAAATATTGAAGTTGTCCAAGACTTCAATTTGCTTGTATCCACAATAAACACTAATGGAAGGAGCCATCAGGAAATTGAATGACATATTGCTTTGGGCAAATATGCCACATAAGACCTCTTTAAACGGTTCCAGAGCAAACAGGTCAGTTTGAGGACTAAGGTGTGCTTGATCCAAGCCATGGTATTATCAATATCCTCTTATGCATGTGAAAGTTGGATAGTGAATAAGGAAAACCATAGAAGAATTCATGCATTTGAGATACGGAGTTGGAGAAGAATATTAAAAGTACCATGGACTGCTAGAATAACAAACAAATCTGTTTTGGAAGAAGTACAACTTTTACTTTCCTTAAAAGTCTGGATAGCCAGACTTTGTCTTTTATACTTTGGACATATTATCAAGAGGAGCAGTCCCTGGAGAGGGACGTTATACTTGGTAAAGTGGAGGATTCATGGAAAGGAGGAAGACTCTCAATGAGATGGTTTGGCACAGCAGCAGCAGCGGTAGTCTCTTGCTTGGTGAAGATCGGGGGATGGCACAGGACTAGGCATTGTTTCCTTCTGTTGTGTATAAGGTTGCTTTGAATCAGAACCATCTCAATGCTATCTAAAAACCACCACAACAAATGAGTACTGCTTGGAATATAAGTTCTGTGTAGAATAAAGGAAAACATACCAACCAACACATAGGACTTTACAAATTGCCTTAACTGTGTAGCATAGTGGTTACAAATGGGGCTGCGAACCACAAGGTCAGCAGTTCAAAACTACCAGCTGTTCCGCAGGAGAAAGATGAGGCTTTCTGCTCCCGTAAAGATTTACAGCCTCGGAAACCCTGTACAGGGTCGCTGTGAGTCGGAACCGACTCCATGGCACATAACAACAACAACAACAACAACAACAACTTTTCCTTCTAAGAAGCTAGCCCTCAGAGTTCGGTTTGTTGGTGTTTGACTAGGCTTCTCTGTCTTTTCTGTCCTTTCCTATTTAGGTCCCTCAAGACCCAATGAAGTTTTATAAGAAGATTTACTTCTGCCGCAGCTGCCAGCTCTATCTGCCTTCGACGGAGTTCTCCATCTCATCCACCTCACAGCGCATCTACAAGTGTCGCCAATGCAACAGCCTCGACAATGAGAGTCGAAAACGGGAGTCGTTTTTGAAGTACAAATGTTTACTACAAAGGCTCTACTTTTCAGAAGCCAATTACGACGATGATTCTACAATTGCTTACCTGATGCAGGTACGATTGGTGTGGATTGCCAGTCACGGGTGACACGTGTCTCTGTCACGGAGACTATCATCCTTCGTGGGGCAGAATGGGCATGAAGTGCAGGTGAACCCATTCTTGCTTGGGAAGCAGTGCTCGTGGTTCCATTAGTGAGTAGTGTGTATAGCTGTGTTCTCAGTATTTAATTAAGTACAGCGCTAAGCACTGAGAAAACACTGCTAAAACAAGACACTGCGGGCTAATGCGCTGGATTGCAAAGTCAGTGTGACCACAAGGCTGGTGGTTCAGGCTCACCAGTAGCACCTCGAAAACCCTATACAGGGTCACTATGGGTCAAAATGAAAACAATTAACTACAACAAACAGTTTAGAAAAGCAGGCAGACATTGAAAAACTTTACAAGTTCTTGTAATACAAAAGAAGAGGGGGCTTCAGAATGTTTGTGGAAAATTTCCATTTTCTTTTTTTAAAAATGTGTTTAGTTTCTCTTTTGGAGGGGAGTAAGAATCAGGAGGTAAGATTTGGATTAAGTTTATAGCTGGTCTAGGCTAGGCCTCTAGGCCTAAGGTTTTATGTAGTGTTAAGGTTAGGGGTAGGGGGCTGTGTTAGGGCTAGGAATAGGGCTTGGTCTAGTTTTAGGGCTACAGGTAGGATTATTTATTTATTTATTAAAAGCTTTTGCTGTGAACTGAGTGATAATTTACATGGCAGAACATCGGTTTTGTACTCAACCAATTATGTTTTTTTTCCATTGCAATGATTACAGTCCTCTCCATGTTCCATTGGTTAACAGGATTTGCCTCTATTCCTGCTTGATTTCTGTTTGTTTTTACTTGGATGTACACAAACACACAGGAATATATAATTGTTTAAACAACCAAAGGGCCCATTTTACAAGCCAGCTTCCTGCCCAACAGCACACAGCTTTCTCTTTTCATGAGTGTAGAGTCCTCAGCTGCTCCATCTCTCCCAGCCATCACCTCTGCTTCCATCTCTGGTGTTGCTGCTTCTCTGGTTATGGTCCCACATTCTGCTCACGCTCTTCTTTCTTGATGGTCCTAGGGTCCTCTGTTCCTGGACTGTAAGTTTAACTACTCCCCCCTTTTTGTGAAACATCTTCTACTTTTACAATTGTGACCATCGCAATTAGTCATGATCACAATTACAAAATTCCATTATCTTTTCATTCCATTTTCCACGAATGTTTTGAAGCCCTTCATTTACATAAACGGGATGGAGTGGGCATTATGTGGACATTAGATGTGGAACGAATATAATCTGAGGACCAGGCAGGGATTCCTCAAGGAAGTGGCCTATAAATACGAGATCAAGAGTGAGTAGAGGTTTCTCTGGTGACCATGCTCAGGGAAACATTGCAGATCATGGGAAGAACATGCAGGCAGATCCAGAGGCAGACCTGGGACGGGGCTGTCACAGGAGGGAGGACAAGGACATGCTGTTTGGGCATTTTGGTTTTTGAGATCAAGGAGCTTTTAATGAGGGTAAAAAAGACCCAGTGGCCAGGGAGAGATTGAAGGCACAGCCGCACTGTCTCAGGAGAAAATGGGAGCCAAGCAAAGAAATACAAGACATCTTAATCAAAACTGTGAACAAGGTGCACGTTTTGAATGTATATAAAACTATAGTCAAGAATTACGTTTTTAAATTCTATAGATTTCTGTTCCATAACAGCTGTTGTAATATTGTATTTTCTAATATTAAAAAAAAGTTAGATTGTGTTACTGGAGCTTAATATATTGAATTTTCCATTTCTGAAACATTATAGTAGCTGTTGGTGACAAGTTTTCTTTCTCTCTCTTTTTTTCCCCATAAACTTTGGTAAATTGTATAGCTTTTTGTCCACTGAATGTACAGAAAAGATGTCTGTTTTCCTACTCCAACCCTTTAAAAAAAATAATGGTTCTTTTTTAAAAAAAAAAACATAAAATGTTTGTATTTGGTGAATTTACCCCTCTCTGATATGGCGCTGTAGGATCAGTGCTGGATTTTGAACCACAAGGCCGGCAGTTCAAACCCACCAGATGTTCATTGGAAACCCTATACATGGTCGCTATGAGTCAGAAACTACTGGGCAGCACTTAACAACACAACAACAATCACAATAACCCCTCTCTGGTGATTCTAAGTGTGTTTATGTAGAACCCCTGATACAAAGTCATCACAAGAGTTTTAGCTAATGTAGGATGAGGTTTTTGTTGTTGTTTTTTTAATTTTAAATAATTATTTCATTTATGCACTTTCCCCTTCTATTTCATCACAATTCTTGTTAGGTGCCATCAAGTCAGTACTGACTCATAGCGACCTTGTTCACAACAGAATGAAACACTGCCCGGTCCTGTGCCAACCTCACAAGTTTTGTTCCCTTTGAGCCCACTGTTGCTGCTGCTGTGCCAATCCATCTCATTGGGGGTCTTCCTTTTTTTTGCTGACCCTCCACTTTACCAAGCATGGTGTCCCTCTTCAGGGACTGGTCCCTCCTGATAACATATCCAAAGTATGAGAGATGAAGTCTGGCCATTCTGGTTTCTAAAGAGTATTCTGGCTGTACTTCTTTTACCACAGATTTGTTGGTTCTTTTGACAGCCCATGGTGCTTTCAATATTCTCCTCCAACACCAGAACTCAAAGGCATCAATTCTTCTACTGTCTTCCTTATTCACTGTCCAGCTTTCGTATGCATATGAGGCTATTGAAAATACCATGGCTTGGGTCAGGTGCACCTTAGTCTTCAAACTGACATCTTTGCTCTTAAATACTTTAAAGAGGTCTTGTGCAGCAGATTTGCCTAATGCAATACGTCATTTAATTTCTTGACTGCTACTTCCAAGAGTGTTGATGGTTGAGCCAAGCAAAATGAAGCCTCTCATTATAAAAACAGGTTTTTAATAATGCCAAATGCCTTACTTAATCTTTATCACATCTTTAGTTTCTTCCTTTGTAAAGTAGGACTAAAATTCTTAAAAGGATTTCACATTAGTGCTGAGGTGGTAGTTACTAATAAATTTTTGAAAAGTATTTAATATCATGTAACTGTAGGATAAAACGAACATACTGGAAGAAAAGCCTGTTCTGGGCTAAAGATGGGGTCATCACTGCAAAATGGGTAAAGTTAGGTTATTTGGGCTGAATGAACAGAGATTTTGATTAAAAATAGGGGGTAATGTGCCTGGTGGCACAGTGGTCAAGTGCACACTTCTAACTAAAAGGTCTGTGGTTCGAACCCACCAGCTGCTGTGTGGGAGGAAAATGTGACCATTTGTTTCCATAAAGACTTATAGCCTTAGAAACCCTAGGGGCAGTTCCCCTCTGTTCTGTAGGGTTGCTATGAGTGGGCTGTGACACCGAAGGTTCATGGGTGACAAAGTCGTTCTTGATTAATAAACGTAAAGGTTGGCAGTTCGAACCCACTCAGCAGTTTCACAGAAGAACGGCCTAGGAACCTACTATCCTAAAGATGCCAACCACGAAACCCTCATGTGACAGTCTGCTCCCTCACATGACATCACCACGAGTCAGAATCGTCCCAACGGCAGTGTTTGTTTGTTTTTAATGTTTCACCGAAAATCAAAACCACTGCCCTTGAGTCTGTTCCGACTCGAGGTGACCCGATAGGACAAAGCAGAATTGCCCCTTTGGGTTTCTGAGACTGGAAAATGTTTATGGGAGCAGACAGCCTCCTCGTTCTACAGTGGAGCGGCTGGTGGGTTTGAACCATCAACCTTGTGCTTGACAGCCCAGTGCTTACCCTCTGCACCACCAGGGCTCCTTGTGTCACTGAAAACGTAATAATGCTTGATTTTTCAAAACCTTACTCACCGTAATTTAATGATCTCTTCGGTTAGTATGATAGATTAGATTTAAGGAAATTTCATGTTTAGTCGTAAACATAGTACAGTTAGTATGATAATCTTAAGGGAATTTCATGTTTAGGCATAAGCATAACATTGTTTTTCAAACTTGTTTTGACACGCAGCTGCAAGATATTCAGTACCTGGTAGAGAATATCTGGGCGTCCCAGTCGGTGCTCAGTGCTTGGGATGACCTCTATGACCTGGTCATGGTCAGGTGGGAGAAGGCCTTGCAGTGGTCCCCCTGGAACTGCATTCTTCTAACCAAAAATGAAGCTGCTGCTCATCTCAAACTACCAAGTACTGAAGAGGTAAGAAACGCGACTACGATTTAAGGAATTCGTTACATCATTGGAATTGTTAGACATAGCTTGCTAACTTTTAATATATGCCCTGCATGGTTTAAATACTCGAGGTGGATCAAGAAGCTGAGAACTCATGGATACCAGTAACAAAATATGTGATAGTATGTATGCAGGGGATTAAAAGGAAGCTAAGATACATGACCGGTAAGCCTTGAATGTCTCATAGTGCCTAAGGAAGATACTACTCTCAGAGTCTTGGTGTAGCGCTGTAGGATAAGCGCTGAGCTGCTAACCACAAGGTCTGCAGATCAAGCCCACCAGCCATTCCTCCGAAATCCTCTACAGGGTTGCCAAGAGTTTGAACTGACTCGAGGGCACTTGACAACAACTGTTCTAATAGCAGCCTCCAGCAATGAGAAGGGTTTAGCTTTATTATTGCAGTATTTTATAGTGCAGTATATTTTTGAGAGGTTTCTTTCTTAAAATTATTAATACTTACTTGGCTAATTCTTTATTGTGCTAACTTTCTTACTGAACTTTTAAGTTGCAGGAGGAAAGGGATTTTATTTAACCCATTGTCCTCTATTGGTTACGAATCGGACTGCAAACCACAAGGTCAGCAGTTCGAAACTACCAGCTGTTCCGCGGGAGAAAGATGAGGCTTTCTGCTCCCGTAAAGATTTACAGCCTCGGAAACCCTGTGCAGGGTTGCTATGAGTCGGAACCGACTCCACGGCACATAACAACAACAACAACAACAACAACATTGTCCTCTATAATCTTGTGAGGATGTGTTTCATTCTGTTGTGCACAGGGTCTCTGTAAGTGGGAAAAATGATCTTTTTTGTTGTTCTTGTTAAGTGCCGTCGTGTGGGTTCCAACTCATAGTGATCCTCTAAAGGGTTTCCTAGGAGCGGCTGGTGAGTTTGAGCTTCCAACCTTGAGGTTCAAACCTATCTTGAGGTGTCCAGTGCTTATCCTACAGCACCACATCAGGACTCCACAAAGTTATCTCTAATACCTACTATAACAGTGCCTATCACAGACTGTTGTTATTGAGTGCTGTGGAGTCAGTTCCAACTCATAGCAACCCTGTACAGGATTTCTGAGAAGTGGCTGGTGGGCTTAATTTTAGCAGTCCAGTGCTTATCCTACAGTGCAATACCAGGATCCTTGTTACAGACTATGGTCTCAATAAATAGTTGTTAAATAAATAAATGAATATTACTACTATGGTAGATATTATGAATCCTAGGATCTGCCCCTTTCTTAAAGCACCCTTAAAATTTCAAATACATTCGGCTTATAATTATATACTCTCAATGGCAGGCAAGGTCATGGGGTATTTCTGGAAGGCTCCATTTTGTACTGGCTTCCCACTAACCAGGAGTGGGGAAGGCACAGCAAAATGTAGACCCCATCGGTCACTTACAAGATGCAATCAGTGAAAGCATTCTGAGGAACAGATTAGAGGGGCCTCTGATGCGTTTCTAGGAGCTTCATTTAGATAAGTACACCTAGGGCCCCCGGGAGCAGACTCTTCTGAGTCTTCAATTCCATGGACGATAACAACTACAGGGAAAGAAGAGATGGGTTTCAAAATAATTGTTATTTTGAATAGTGCATTCTCGGCCTATTTGTTTCCTTTTTGGGGGGGAAGGGGTCGGATGGTATTCAGGGAAAAGCTAATTAAAATTTTCGTTTTTAGAATAATGTTTCAGTAAAGCTTTAAGATGCGAGATTATGAAAAATTTCATTCTAGGGATTCAAAGAAAGGGCAGCAAGAAATTGGAGCTGTGCTAATATTATATTTAGTAAACTAAGCTGCCTCATAAATATATAATCACTAGAAACCTAGCCAACATTAGTAATAGCATTTCATTTAGGACCCGTGATGAGATTGACGTTCTATCCTAAAGCTGATATTCCTGAGCTTCTTTCAATTAATCTACAAAACTCCCTTTGTGTATTTAACCAAATTACTACAGTATCAAATTAAATGTTCTATTTACATGCATTGCTGATTTCAAGATGCCAATTTTATTGAATTCCTATAAATAGAGCTAGTTTCTAAATCAGACAAACTCAAAAAGCATTTACCTTTTTTAATTATGGTTTTGGGCTAGTGTGATCTTTTACGTATTAATATTCATTCCAGTTACATAACAGTTTATGACTGCAGCAAGTCAGAACATTTGTAGAATTCCTCTAATGCACAGAGAGACTGCCTCTTTCAATAAACAAAAATATTCCAAAGTTAAGATCCTCTTGACTCTTTGCTAACATGACGTCAGTTATAGGAAAAACATGACATAAGACTTCGGTTCTATGAGCTGTCCTTGAGGCAGCTAAATCTTCCCTAGTGGACACGTTGGCCAAAGTAGAAACAAAGTGGACATGAAGTCAAAAGATCGGACCCCGTTGACATGAAGCAACTTAGTAAACATGTATATGGAAACACTTCAAATATTTTTGGCTTATTTTACTTGTAATCATCATAAAAAACAATCTTCTTCTTTAAAAAGTATCTGAAAAATTCTGCTTCGAAAGGATAACTACTATTTTTTACATACGATTGATTGAAACCCTTCTAGAATTTTTTTTCTTTTTCAGTTTTTATTGTGAATTGAGTGAAAGTTTATAGGGCAGATCATCAGTTTTACATTAAAAAAATCATACACCTTGTTTCATTACAATGATTATAATCCCCTCCATGTACCATCAGTTAACAGTATGCCTTTCTATTCCTTTTAGCTCTTTTTTTTTTTTTTAAACACTCAGGCATATATAATACAGAATGTTTTTATGTGCATGCAACATTCATGGAAGCAGCAGTCAAGAAATTAACCAACGTGTTGCACTAGGCAAATCTGCTGCACAAGACGTCTTTAAAGTATTCAAGAGCAAAGACGTCAGTTTGAAGATTAAGGTGTGCCTGACCAAAGCCATGGTATTTTCAATCATCTCATATGCATGTGAAAGTTGAACAATGTGGAAGAATCGAGGCATTTGAGTTATGGTATTGGAGGGCAATATTGATTATTGCTTAGAAGCCAATATTGAATGCTGCTTAGAAGCCAGAATGCTGAGACTTGTCTCTCATAATTTAGGACATGTTATCAGGAGGGACCTGTCCCTGAAGAAGAACACGGTGCTTGATAAAATAGAGGGTCAGTGAAAAAGAGGAAGATCCCCAATGAGATGGCAGCAATGGCTCAAATGTAACAAATGTTGTGAGACTGATGCAGGACCCGGCAGTGTTTCATTCTGTTGTGCTTAGTTAGGGTTGCCATGAGTTGGAAGCAACTCGACAGCACCCGACAAGTAAACGTACTCTTTTTCCAGGATTGCTTTCATGTTACATCGCTGTGCTTCATTTAGCAATAAATTTTGGGACTCTTTGGTATCTTTCCATATTACCTTCTTTTTAAAAACAGAAAACAAACCAAATGCTGGTAAGTTGATTCTGGCTCATGGCAACTCTATGCTTGTCCGAGTAGAACTGTACTCCATAGGGTTGTCAATGGCTGATTTTTTGGAAGTAGATCCCCGAGCCTTTTTTATGAGGTGACTCTGGGTGAACTTGGATCTCCAACCTTTTGGTTTGCAGCCGAGTGCAGTAGCCATTTGTACCACCCCCAGAGGTCTCCTCATTCCTTCTTTTTTTTTTTTCAATTTGATGTCCAATTTAATTTTTTAAACTTAATGAAAAATATAACAGAATGAAAACATTTAAAATCAGTACACTCACTACCAACTCCAGTAATTCATTTAAGTAATATCAACTATAGAATATGAAAAATAAATTCAAAAGTTTAATTACTTTAAAATACACCACTTCCACTTTTGTCAATATTTTACATTTATTTATATATTCTATAGTGGAAGCAGAAATTCTCTCTAAAAACATTATCTCCTTAAAATTTGAGGTGCATATTCGAGCCACAGGCAATATCTGACATATAAAATTGCAGTACAGGCATTTCTCTGGTACAATACAATGACCAAGCAAAATAATCACTTTAGAGTGCCTAAACATTCCAGTAAGAGCCATTATTTTGTTTCATGTACAATGAATAATACATATTCTACAAGGGGCAGTGAGGTTAGTAACTCTATACGGTATATCTTGACATAATTTTCAAATTGTACAATAACACAAACAACTTTGTTAAGGCCATATTTTATTTGCTGATTAATGGACAAAAAGCAGTGTAATTTATTTTCAAGTATTTTCTTGAAAGTCTGTGCTCAAAAATCATGAAAAGTTGGAAAGAGTGTTAAATCACTGAAACTTTAAATATATCTTACACAATCTTGTTTGTACAAAAATCCAAGTTAAATATAAACATAAAGCAATCATGATAATTTTATGCAAATCTGTTTTATGTGATCTTCAGTTACATATATAAGTTTCTCAGTTCTGTTATTTGTGAAAAGATCAATACCAGATTGAATTACTATCTATTGGCAAAGGGCCCTAAAAAGCTTACTTTAGCATTAGTTGTTTACATGGTTAATTACATTTTCTAATTCGAGATCACCTAAACACTGAAAGAAAAAAAAAAAAAAAAAAAATGAGAGGGTATTATGTCCATAAACCAACAAATAATTTGGCTGTAATGTATCATAAAACACAAACCCCACACATCTGTACAATACACATTGTGTATTACACACACACACAGGTGCATACATGTGTGCACATACAAACATGCACACACCCATACACACGCACAGCCATAAAACAAAACCTAATGAGGTGCTGCTTCCAGTTCAATATTCAGGTTTGCATTTTTTCTTACTTCATCAAATGAATAGCTTTTTGTCACTTTTCCATTCCTGAAGACAGTGTGAAGAAGATCATGACAATATTCCTCAAGATCGCCTTTTCCTTCTTCAAGTGTAACAAAGTTCCCTGTTGGTGTCCTATGTAAAGATAATCGACCTTCTTTGGATCTTTTGTTGGGATCAGCAACTGGATCCTTGAAGACATTAATCCCAAGACCATTGGTCACCACATAACTACATTTGAAGGAACAATTTAAAAGATCTCTTGTTAACTTCTGTAGTAAAACGCCACCAGAACCAAAGGAAATATTTTCAATACTCCATTTTTTTTTTGTTTCATGCCTTCTACAACCTCTTGTAAAGTATTAATATCTACTCCATCCCCTTGAATAACTCTGAGGTAAGGAGGCAGCAACTTGTAGCCTTTTGAGTTCTCTGTGATAGGAAACTTCTTACCTAAAATATCCAAAACCTTTAATACAGTGTCAAGAGGATTTCCAGCTGCTCCTCAAAAACTCTATACAGGGTTGCTATGAGTTGGAACCGACTCAATGGCACCCAACAACAACAAAAACAACAACTTGATTACATTGATCAATTTCAGACTAAAGAAGTTGTTGTTGTGATGTGCCACGGAGTCGGTTCCAACTCGTGACCCTGCATAGGGTTCCGAGGCAGTAAATCTTTTTGGGAACAGAAAGCCTCATTTTCTCCTGTGGAACAGCTGGTAGTTTTGAACTGTTGACCTTGAGGTTAATAACCCTACTTGTAACCACTACATTATTAGGGCTCCTTGAAGAAGTTGGTAGAGTTCTTCAATTTCATCATTGCTGGTTTTAGTGGTTGGTGCATATATTTGAATAATAATTGTATTAACTAATCTTACTTGTAGGCATATGGATATTATCCTATCACAGACAGTGTTGTGATAGATAATATCCATAGATATTATTTCAAGATAGATCTTGAAATGTTCTTTTTGACGATGAAGACAAAGCCATTCCTCCTCACTTTGCCATTCCCAGCATAGTAGACCATGTGTTTGCCAGATTCAAAATGGCCAATACCAGTTCATTTCAGCTCACTAATAACCTACGATATTGATGTTTATGTGTTCCATTTCATTTTTGACAATTTCCATTTTTTCTAGATTCATACTTCGTACATTCGATGTTCAAATTCTATGTTCAAATTTGTCTTCATTTTGTGTTGTGCCCCATCAGCAAATGAAGGTCCCGGAAACTTTACTCCATTTGTGACATCACATTCATCTCTACTTTGAGGAGGCAGCACTTCTCCAGTCTTATTTTGAGTGTCTTCCAACCTTTGGGGCTCATTCTCTGGCACTGTATCTGACAGTATTCCGGTGCTCTTCATCATGCTTCAGTATTCAATATTCTTTTGCTAGCTGTGTGTTCCACTGCTATTCATAAGATTTTCAGTTACTAAATATTCAGAAGCAGTCCATATCTCCTTCTTCCTAGTCTGTCTTAGTCTGGAAGCTCAGCTGAAACCTGTCTGCCATGTGTGACACTGCTGGTATTTGAAATACCAGTGGCATCACTTCCAGAATCACAGCAACACACCAGCCAACACAGTATGGCAAATTGACAGGCGAGTGGTAGGAAAATTAAAAGTCATCAAGAAATGACCTGGAACACAGAAAGATCAATGTCCTAGGCATTAGTGAGCTGGAATGGACTGGTTTGGGCCATTTTGATTCTGACCATGCCTGGAACAACAAATTGAAGAGAAATGGCATCATATTCATCGTGAAAAAAAGCATTTCAAGATAGGTCTTGAAATACAATGCTGTCTGTGATAGGATAATACCCATAAGCCTACAGGGAAGACTAATTAATACCATTATTATTCAAATTACACACCAACCACTAAGTTTAGTGATAATGAAATAGAATTCTGCCAATTTTACTCTAAAACATATCAAACATACAATAAAAATGCATTGATAATTACTGCTGATGGAATGTGAATTTGGAAAACCAAGGGTAAGTATCGGTTGTTGGAAAATATAGTTTTGGTGATGGAAACAATGCTGGTGATCACATGATGAATTTTGCAAGGCCAATGATTTATTCATTGTAAATACTTGTCTTCAATATAAATGGCAACTATGCCAGAAGTGTGTCTGCCCACCCTTCTTGTTGTTATGTGCCGTCAAGTTGATTCTGACCCATAGTGACCCTGTTTAGGGTTTCCAAGGAGCAGTTGGTGAGCTTGAACCACTGACCTTGTAGTTCAAACAACTTTGCAGTCTGATGCATTAGCCCACAGCGCCACACCAGGACTCCCTTTAATACACTTTGTTCAATGCTTTTTCTGGTACATCCATATAATGGCCAGAAACACAAGCCGTATGGCTAGTGTTCACTACAATGAAGACAAGACAAGCTGGGTACATAAATATATCCACACCATATGCAAGTGTGAATGGAAAACAAAACCTACTATCCATCCACTTCTGACTCACAGGTACCTATTGGGACAGAGCAGATGTTTCTGCTTCTTTGGATTTCTTAGAATGTAAATCTTAACAGGAGCAGACAGTTTCATCACCTTTTCTGGAGCAGGTGGAGGTTTGAACCGTCAACTATGTGGTTAGCAGTCCGATGCTTACCCCACTGGCTAATAATGGATATTGGGTTAGAAACTAATAGTGTCTGCTACTCTGATTTGAAAAGACTTATCATTGGAGAGAACCCTAACCAAAAACCTGCAGCATTCTTCTGTAGATGTGAGAGACAAAGAGGCTGGAAATGAATGAAACACAATAAGCATGGAAAAGCAGGAAGATTTGGTGGCAATGGTCAGAAGGTGATCAATTCATTAGACGAAATTAGAAAAACAGTGAAAGCACTCACATGGTGGGAATGGGAGGCAGCAAATAGGGTGACCAAAGGATCCACGGTCACAGCAGAAATGTAACCTTCAATTTTAGCTCTAGAGAAATAGAGGGAAAGACCCATTTTGGAAAAAAAGTAAAATCAGTCAAGTCGCTCATTGTATCAGTATTGAAGCTGCTTCCGAAGCTGAAATAGATTTAAAAGCAAGAACCAAAGGTGGCAAGAACATTCATCCAAAAGAAAAAAAATTGATTGAGTAGGAGAAAGGAGACCCTTAAGAAGGTTTCTTTTGTCAGGAAAAGATTCTCAAAAAAATTAGTGCAATTCAAGGCAGAATGCATTGTTGTTGTTGTTGTTGTTAAGTGCCGTCGAGTCGGTTCTGACCCATAGCGACCCTGTACAGGGTTTCCGAGGGTGTAAATCCTTAACGGGAGTAGAAAGCCTCATCTTTCTCCCGCAGAGTGGCTGGTAGTTTCAAACCGCTGACCTTAAGGTTCGCAGCCCGATTCGTAACCATTACGTATTTAAAATACAATAACAGTTTGCAAGTACTGAAGGACTGATTTACTTGAACTCAGTGAGGGCAGAGGTCAGAAGAAAGGCTTCCAGGTTAAAGTACAAGAGTTAAGCTTTGAAAGATGCTAGGTGAAGCGGGTGGGGCGGGGGGTGGGGGGCGGGCAGTATTCTGGGGTGAAGTAACTAAGAAGTAAAGGCTGCAGTAGGCATTAAAGTGCTTGTTACTGTTGTTAAGTGCTGTCGAGTTGGTTCCGACCCATAGTGACCCTGTATAGTGCCTATACCTAGCTAAATGTATCTGTGACATTAAATGGAATTTGGTTTTCATTTCTTCTCAGGGATACGAACCCTTGTTTATTCACAAGATCAAGCACAAACACATCCTGGCTAAGAACTATTTTTCTCAGATCCTACCGCTAGCTTCATTCTTACTGGATGATGAGGACGTGGATGAGATCAGGAAGAAGTACCACCCGCAAACATCACCTAAGATCATAGAATCCAAGACACCTTCTTGAAGGAGGAGGGGAGGCGGAAGTTGGTTTGATGATCCACATTTTTGTCTGTTGCTAATAGAAGAATGCGGGGGTCACACAACATTGGAAACACTACTTTATCTGTTTAGCTATGTTAGTTTTTTAGTTTGGGTTGTATCCTAGCCTACAGAGAACACTCCTGTATAAATGTTTTATTGCTAGGTAATTCATGTTAAAATGCAATCCTGTTTGTTTTTTTTTAAATTATTTTTAATTGAAACTAATGTTTTAAAGTCAACATTTTATTTTTACATATTTCACATAAAATTTTTATTCAAATTTCAAACACAGTAGAGTTAAAAATCCCACAAACAAAAAACTAGACTTTGCTTTCAACCCAAATAGTTTACTTTAGATAAAATGTCCTCCCAGGAAAATGTTCAGCACAGATATGGAGGAAACCTGATAGAATTCTCTTTCTTGAAAAACTTTTCAAGTAAGATAAAGACTCTGTCTAGGTTTCAACAAAGAGATTTGAATCTTTTCTTTGTCTCTTACGCTTTCACCTTCCAAACTTTCCAAAATGCCAATAAATCTACTGAAGGTATGAACAAGAAAGTAATCTACATCCCACGCTGTCATACAAGACAGACACTGGGAGCATCTTTCATCCTGTACGTGAAGATGACCCGTGGCTCAGTGGTGCAACTGTATTGAATGAATAAACTCTGGTTGTACCTTCACTGTTTTCCTGTCTCTCTTTTAAACAGTAAATAACCTTTCTGCTTTGATCCTCAAGTGGAAATAGTTCTTATACCACTGTTGTTGTTAAGTGCTGTTGAGTCGGTTCCAACTCCAGAGTGGAACCTGTATAGGGTTTCCGAGGAGTGGCTGGTGAGTTTGAACTGCCTATCTTGTGGTTCAAACCTACCTGAAGGTTGAGTGCTTATTCTACAGTGCCACACCGGGACCCCATGCCCATACCATTACACATATTTTCCTAATTCCAAAGAACATTGAATTCTCTCGAGAGTTTAGTTCAGTGGTCAAGAAAATTCAATTCAATTAATATTTGACAACAAATTGTCAACATATTTTCCAGAATATCTTCAAACGTTTTAGTTAGCAAAAACGGTGTGCAGCAAGTGTTCTAGGGAGTTAAGGAATATGGAAGGACATGCTATAATGCTATTCTTATTTTTAAGGTTTCATAGACAGTTCAGACATGCGTGGAAATTCTACACAATATAGTACAGATGGGATTAGTTTGGGGACCTTTCTGCTCACTGATGTTGTGGAATGCCGTGGAGTCAATTCTGACACATAGCGACCCTGTATAGGGTTTCCAAGGAGTGGCTGGTGGATTTGAACCACCAACCTTGTGGTTAGTAGTCCAGCACTGATCCTATAGCACCACATCAGGACCCCAGGCAACAATTTAACATAGACAAAAGTGAGTTTTCACTGGAATGTAAATGACCAGACTTTCATAAGGCAGTTCAGAGAATCTCGTAGCTCTGAGAAGAAAGACTGTGGGGAGCTCTGGGAAGCAGACATTAAAGGGTAAGTAGCCAGAAAGGTGAATATAAAAGACTGGATTTCTCAATGACCCTGCAGGTGAAGTGCACTATAGTATTGGCTACAGAAGTGGGAAGGTTATGCAGCTAACACTGAAAAGTGTGGGCCAACTAGAACCGCTGAATCATGTATGATAAAAGGGGCAGTTAGCACTTGTGTGGCACTGTGGGATCAGCACGGGACTGCCAGCCACAAGTTTAACAGTTCAAACCCTCCTTGGAAGCAGGGTCACTTTGAGGTGGAATTGACTCGATGGCACTTAACAACAACACTGTTAGGGAGAATAGGGAAAGGAAGAGGGTCTGAAGTCACTCTGTATAGTTTATCTCAGCAGAAAATCCCGCCAACCTGAGCAGTAAGGAGACCCTGCTAAGGGTACTTTGTACATGTTATCAAGAGGGACCAGTCTCTGCAGAAAGACTTCAGTGCCTGGCAAACTAGGGATCAGGGAAAAAGAGGATGACCCCTAACGAGGATGGACTGGTACAGTGGCTGCAACAATGGTCTCAAATTTAGCAACAATACTAAGGATGGGCAGTGTTGCATACTGTTGTATGTAGGGCCAGTGTGAGGTGGAACTTACTTGAGGGTACTTAACAACAAAAGCAACCTTAATTTAGAGCTGGGGAGCAACCACAAAGGGGGTGGGCAACTCATGAGTCATGAGACTTTCCCTTATAAAAATCAACTCTCTTAGTTAATTCTTGTAGTTCGGATTGAATTATTGTTAGGATTTTACACTGATTACCAAAAATTTGCAGGAAGAGCTAAAGGAGGGGTCAGGCTGCCCATCAGCCAGCAGGAATATACCCTGAATCCCAAACCAGATCATTACCTAGCAGCGTTTCCCACTGTCTGCATTCCTGTCGTTCATGACCAGATGCATAAACAACTACTAGGAAAAGCAAGCATAGAAAATATGGTTCTCTCAACTTTATGAGAAATAAGTTTGAGTAGAGGCCTATACAATCTGTCAGAATAAAGTTTACATCACAATACTTTAAAAAACTAACAGAGATAAGTCATCAGACGGGAAAATTCAATTTTTTAAAAGAGGCCTTTCTAAGTAGACGTTTTGTAGCAAGGAGAGGAGTGACTAACTAGGAG